GCTTGAACTCAACCTGGCCACTGGGGTAAAAAAAGATCAAGAAATCCTTTTACAAATACATCAGCGGTAAGGAGAATCTCCATTCTTTAGTGGATGAGGCTGGGAATGTGAGCGCAGAGGATAAGGAAAAGGCAGAGGTTCGGAACGCCTTCTTAACGTCTGTCTTTAAAGGTTACACCAGTTATCCTCAGGGTACTCCGCCTTCTGACCTGGTAGTCTGGACTGGAGTGCAGACAGAACTGCCCACGATCCGGGAGGACGCAGTCAGAGACCAACTACTCCAGCTGGACTGTCACAAGTCCATGGGACCGGATGGGATTCACCTGGGAGTGCTGAGGGACCTGGCGGAGGTGATAGCCGAACCGCTCGCTGTTATCCATCAGCACTCTTTGTTGACTGGTGAGGTCCCAGAAGACTGGAGGCTTGCCAGTGTGACTCCCATCTATAAGAAGGATTGTAAGGAGGATCCAAGGAACTACAGGCCTGTTAGCCTGACCTTGGTGCTAGGGAAGGTTATGGAGCAGATTGTCTTGAGGGAGATCACACGGCAAGTGCGGGACAACCGGGGGATCAGGCCTAGCCAGCATGGGTTCATGAAGGGCAGGTCCTGTTTGACCAACCTGATCTTCTTCTATAATCTAGTGACCCATCTGGTGGACGAGGGAAAGGCTGTTGATGTAGTCTACCTAGACTTCAGCAAAACCTTTGACACAGCATTCTCCTGCAGAAGCTGGCAGCCTGTGGCTTGGACGGGTATGCTCTTGGCTGGATAAGAAACTGGCTGGAAGGCTGGGCCCAGAGAGTGGTCATGAATGGAGCTAAATGCAGCTGGCGACCTGTCACAAGTGGTGTTCCCAGGGGTCAGTGCTGGGGCCTGTCCTCTTCAAGATCTTTATTGATGACCTGGATGAGGACATTGAGTACACCCTCAGTAAGTTTGCGATTGACACCAAGTTGGCTGGAAGTGTGGATCTGCCTGGGGGTAGCAGGGCCCTACAGAGGGATCTGGACAGGCTGGATAGCTGGGCTGAAGCCAATGGGATGAGGTTCAACAAGACCAAATGCCGGGTCCTGCACATTGGCCACAACAACCCCAGGCAACGCTACAGGCTTGGGGCAGAGTGGCTGGAAGACTGTGTAGAGGAAATGGACCTGGGGGTACTGACTGATGCTCAGCTGAACATGAGCCAGCAGTGTGCCTGGGCAGCCAAGAAGGCCAATGGCATCTTGGCTTGCATTAGGAATGGTGTTGTCAGCAGGAACAGGGAAGTGATTGTTCCCCTGTACTCAGCTCTGGTGAGGCCGCACCTCAAGTACTGTGTCCAGGTTTGGGCCCCTCACTGCAAGAAAGACACTGAGGCCCTGGAGCGGGTTCAAAGAAGAGTGCCAAAACTGGTGAGGGGTCTGGAGCACAGGCCTTATGAGGAGTGGCTGCAGGAGCTGGGATTGTTCAGTCTGGAGAAGAGGAGGCTCAAGGGAGACCTTATTGCTCTCTATAACTACCTG